ACCAACGGATATAAAAGTTTTTCTTACGAAAAATGTTAATGATCTAGATTTGTCTCAAATTGATAGCGAGCGAAAGAACTTAATGTTGTTTGACGACTGCGTGGCGCAAAGAAATCAAGCCGTTCAACAAGAATTCTTCACGAAAGGAAGACATCACAACTGTCACTGCATATACCAATCCCAATCTTTTTACGGGATGGATTCTATGTTCATTAGAAAAAATGCAAATTGTTTTTTATTATTTGAATTAAACGACAAAGATTTATCTCAAATCGTTCAATCGATAAATCACGGAATGGACAGAGATGCATTTAAAAAGGTTTGTAAAGCTCAATGGAGATATCCAGATGATCATGGATATGTATTTGTAAATACTAGAAAACCTGCGGGTGAAAGAGTTATGAACGATATATGTTAATTTTATTTTTTTAAAAATGGATTGGAAAAATATTTTAAAAAGAAATAGAGAATATATCAAAGCTAAGAATAAAATAAAGACCCAAGTTGAAAATAACAGATTACAACAACTCGGATTAACGGAAAATCTACAGACTCTATTTCAACCCATATTAAAATCTCAAGAGGATATTAAAAGGAAATTAGAATATAAACCTCCTATAGAACCTACACCTCCCAAAGCAATTGAATATAGTGGTGTTATAATTAGGACATTAGATGATATAAATCGTCTTTTTTCAAACCCTGACCCAGATTTACCAAAGAGCATATCACCAATCGTTGATAATCAAGGTTTATTGTTTAATGGATTTAGAATTATATTTAGTGGAAATTCACCACAATTCAAAATCGACACAAAAGATTATATATACACATTAACGAAAGGATTAATAGATTTAATGAATGGCGAGGATGTTGGTATTGCCGATTATAAGGATTTAGTAGCATACTCCAAATTTCTAGATGCAATAAGAAAGTCAGGACCCGAAAAAAGAAGATCAAAAGAAGTTAAACTATATAAAAGAGTAATTGAACGTGATGAAGAGGAATCAGATGATTATGCAGAAGATTATCCACCAATCATACAAGAAATATACGAATTCGAAGACCTGATAGCTAGAGAAAAAAGTGGACAAGGTATAACGTTTTTATCCGACAACAACGAAGAATTGCTTTATAGATTACGAGTAATATTAGCGGCCATGAAGGAAGGACATCGATCGCACTGACAATTTAATGAAGTAAATTGTATATTAAAAAGACTCCTAGAGAAAGGTATCATAGATAAAAATGATTATAAAAGCGTGATTAAAAATGTCAAATAAAGAACAAGTATTCGTCATCACCTCGAATAAATCAGACATTAAATTGTCTCTAGATTATGAGTACGAACTCGATCGCAATCAAGAATATGAATTGGGATTAAAGTATTTCTCTGTTTACAATTCCATTAGAAATATCAACGAAAAAAATAACCAAATAAAAATATCAACAGGTAATGGAGTTACATTCAAAACCATACGTTTACTACCAGGAAGCTACGAATACATAGCCATTAACGAATACTTATCTGAATACGCAGGAAGCGTCAATGGTAAAAACAATATCGAATTCGAAGGTAATTTGAATCTAAACAAAATAAAATTGATATTAAGAAATAATAGTCAAGTTGATTTCAACGTAGGAAATTCATTGAATACGTTACTAGGCTTTGATAAAAAAATATACACCCAATCCACTTTAGCACCACACAAAGCTGATATCGATGTGATAAATATACATTGCAATTTAATAAACGGTGGATTTTTCAATAAATACAAACGTCAGATTATTTACAGTCTTCCAACATTCACTGTTCCTATTGGATATAGAATTATAGAGAAACCATTTCAAACGACGTATTTACCACTTAATTCCTTTATGATTAAAGATATAAATCTGGAAATCAAAGATGGTAAAAATAGGTTTATAGATTTTGGTAACGAGGAAATTGTTATTCACCTTCATTTAAAACAAAAAAATTAACACTCTTCATTCTCTTCTTGAATAGTTAGATAATCGAAATCATCAAATTCATAGTTTTCATCCAAACACATCTCATCTTTATTGTTGTAAGGATACATAATTCCTTCACTGTTTGGTGCTTTTCTCTTAACGAGATTCAGATAACTTCTGAAAACTTTCTTTTGTTTATCTTGGCAACCCACCCTTCAAAGCGCAACTTCGTAGCACTTTCGGTCTGTCTGCAATGGCGGTTTTAAAAAGTCTCTCAAAAGCCGAAAATAGGCCAAAAATCGGACAAATTTTGATCGTTTTGGTCAGGAAAATTTTCAAATTTCGACCCAAATTTTTTTTCTCTTTTTTGGTTCAAATCGATTTGGGGGGACCAGGGAACGTCCGAAATTCGATTCAAAGTTGTTTCCTGCAATTTGGCGAAAAACTAGAGGCCAAAAATAGGGTTATTTTCTTGAAAAAAGTCAAAGTTTGAGCACCTGTAACTTTGGAATCAATTGAGATACAGTATCCTGGTTTATGATGCCGTGTAGAACCAGATCTTGGCAACCAACCCTTGAAAGCGCAACTTCGTAGCACTTTCGGTCTGTCTGCAATGGCGGTTTTAAAAAGTCCCTCAAAAGCCGAAAATAGGCCAAAAATCGGACAAATTTTGATCGTTTTGGTCAGGAAAATTTTCAAATTTCGACCCATTTTTTTTTCTCTTTTTTGGTTCAAATCGATTTGGGGGGACCAGGGAACGTCTGAAATTCCATTCAAAGTTGTTTTCTGCAATTTGGCGAAAAAATAGAGGCCAAAAATCGGGTCTATTTTTTTGAAAAAAGTCAAAGTTTGAGCACCTGTAACTTTGGAACCAATTGAGATACAGTATCCTGGTTTATGATGCCGTGTAGAACCAGATCTTGGCAACTCAGCCTTCAAAGCGCAACTTTGTAGCACTTCCGGTCTGCCTGCAATGGCGGTTTTAAAAAGTCCCTCAAAACCCGAAAATAGGCCAAAAATCGGACAAATTTTGATCGTTTTGGTCAGGAAAATTTTCAAATTTCGACCCAAATTTTTTTTCTCTTTTTTGGTTCAAATCGATTTGGGGGGACCAGGGAACGTCTGAAATTCGATTCCTGCAATTTGGCCAAAAACTAGAGGCCAAAAATCGGGTCTATTTTCTTGAAAAAAGTCAAAGTTTGAGCACCTGTAACTTTAGAACCAATTGAGATACAGTATCCTGGTTTATGATGCCGTGTAGAACCAGATCTTGGCAACTCAGCCTTCAAAGCGCAACTTTGTAGCACTTCCGGTCTGCCTGCAATCGCGGTTTTAAAAAGTCCCTCAAAACCCGAAAATAGGCCAAAAATCGGACAAATTTTGATCGTTTTATCAGGAAAATTTTCAAATTTCGACCCAAAATTTTTTTTGTTTTTTTTTTAGCTCAAATCGATTTGGGGGGACCAGGAAACGTCTGAAATTCGATTCAAAGTTGTTTCCTGCAATTTGGCGAAAAACTAGATTTCAAAATCGGGTCTATTTTCTTGAAAAAAGTTTTTGACTAATTGTACGTGGTTAAACCATGAATTTAGGCAAATTACGATAAAAATGTGGACAGAGGTTGAGTCAGTTTACGGTAATCCCGATTACATCAATCGGGTTTTGTCGAAAATTTTCGCAAGGACCTTTGTCATGAATATTGTGAGCTTACCCATCCTATAGCGGAAAATATCAGTAATCCCGATTACATCATTTGGGTTGTCTCGGAAATTTTCGCAAGGACCTCTGTCTTGAATATTATGAGCTTTCCCATCCAATAACGGAAAATATCAGTAATCCCGAGAACATCATTCGGGTTTTCTTGAGAAGTTTTGTATTGCTACTTTGACCTCTGTCTTGAATTATGGACGAGCTCATTATTACTGTTTACGGAAAATACCAAAAAATGCCGATTACCTGAAGGCTTCAGAACACAATTAACTAAGTATTTTTGACGTACTTAAACAGAGTCCCGTACCTTTAACTACGATTTCATCTATCTGACTTTGTTCTGTTCAAACAGATTTTGTATTCAGCGCTCTATCTTTTGCAGTTACGGCAAGGATTTCGGAACGTTCATGACGTATATTATGAAGTGTCCTTACCAACCGTAAATAAACATTCTTTCT